TAACTCTGCCAGTTTTTGAAATTCTGATGGACAACAGGCACATGAAAAGCTGCTCCACATCACTAATTATCAGGGAAATGCAAATAAAAACCACAATGAGATATCACCTCACACCAGTTAGGATGGCCAATATCAAAAAGACTAAGAACGATAAATTCTGGCGAGGCTGTAGAGAAAGGGGAACCCTCCTACACTGCTGGTGGGAATGTAAGCTAGTTCAACCATTGTGGAAAGCAATATGGATGTTCCTCAAAAAACTAAAAATAGAAATACCATTTGACCCTGGAATTCCACTCCTAGGAATTTACCCAAATAATATAATTTCTCAGATTCAAAAAGACATATGCACCCCTATGTTTACTGCAGTACTGTTTACAATAGCCAAGATATGGAAGTAACCTAAGTGTCCATCAGTAGATGAATGGATAAAGAAGATGTACATATACACAATGGAATACTATTGGGCTATGAGAAAGAAACAAATCCTACCATTTGCAACAACATGGATGGAGCTGGAGGATATTATGCTCAGTGACACAAGCCAGGCAGAGAAAGACAAATACCAAATGATTTCCCTCGTTTGTGGAGTATAACAATGAAGCAAAACAGCAGCAGACTCACAGACTCCAAGAAGGGACTAGCAGTTACCAAAAGGGAGGGGTGGGGAAGGGTGGGTGGGGAGGGAGGGAGAAGGGCACTGAGGGGTATTATGACTGGCACACATGGTGTGGGGGGATCATGGGGAAAACAATATAGCACAGAGAAGGCAAATAGTGACTCTGTGGCATCTAACTATACTGTTGGGCAGTGACTGCAATCGGGTATGGGGGGGGACGTGATAACAGCGGTGAATGTAGTAACCACATTGTTTTTTCATGTGAAACCTTCATCAGAGCATATATCAATAATACCTTAATAAAAAAGAACTCAGCCAGTTTTCTTTCAGGAGTAGTAATTACACATAGTGTGTAGGGAAGATAATAAGGATGGATCAGGAGGGTTTGTGCCTATCCTCAAAGGATAAGACATTGCCAAATAGAACTGTCATTAAAGCTAGACTGACAGGAAACCTGAGACCTTATCTTAGTCCTCGCACAAGACGAAACCGTGACCAGTCAGTCCTATGCTGAACATGAATCCATGATGATTATTTTGATGGAGATTCTGAAAGAACATCATCCTAACTGAGTCATAATGAAGGACATTATAATCTTATAGCATTCAATCCTTCACTGATTCAAAATACATTTTTGTGCCAAGCACTGGGGGTACCAAAATAAAATAGACACCCTCCTTGTCTATTTTTGAAAGGCTGAGTATGGTAGGGATATGGGGCTGTAAGCAAACATTCGTGAAGCCCTGTGGTAAGTTCCTGTAGCAGTGGAGGGCTTGGCAACCACAGCAGGGGAGGGCAAGTGGCATGTGACAGCAAACACCCAAAACTTGAAAACAAAATGTGATGCCCTCTAAGAGAGCTTTCAACTGAGAGATTACACAAGTAGAAATACTCCAAGACATCTTTAAAAGATAGAAGGAATGACTACGAGACTCAAGCTAGACTTAGTGGAACATTAAGAATTAGTAATACCATCCACCCCAAAGGACAGAAAAAGTATTTGAGAAACTACACCCACTTTAGATATAAAGAGACAAAGCTATTCTGGTTCCTTTAGCAGCTATTTTAAGTGTAAGTTACTTCTAAATAAGGAAAATAACTACCACAATCTGAGTGCTTTCTAAGAGCAAGCCGTATCTCAGGCATCACCTTTTTCCCAGATATGAGTCCCGACCTCTGGTATAAGAGACTCGTGCAGGTCACATACAAATGTCACTTATTTTTTATATTTTACTGTGTGTTAGGAAAAATTATAGTTAGCCCATCGATCCAGGTGTTGTAGAAAGTCCAGCAGTATCTTGACCTCCACGCATTAGATGCCCCACCCACTAGCACACACTCACAGTCATGACAACCAAACATGTCTCCCAACATTGCTCAGTGTCCCCTGGGGGTCAAAAATCACCGGAGTTGAGAACCACCTGTTGTAACTGTATGATGTATTTTCAGTGAATCCATGAAATAAGATTTATTTAAATCAACAGAGCTCACAAACAAAATACATTTTCCAGATTTTAAATGTTACAAAAAAACTTGTTAATTAACTTTTATTCTGACATCTTTATTTTTCAAATGTTTTTGTCAAGTTTGAATGATAAGTTCCCATCTGTGTTTTTTTTTTTCCTTCTTTGACCTCAGACAAAGCCTCTAACAAGGAAAGATAAATTTTCAAAATTCAATTCAGTAGCAATTAGCCTTCCTGCTATTTGATTCTAGACATTTCTCTATGATTCTTGGGTATGTCAGTTGATAGTGTCCCTTCAAAAGTGTTATAAACTGTAAAACATACCTTTAATCCTTCAGACCACTCATTTGAAGAGTGTTTTATAATCTCCAGTCCTTTTGTAATACAAGAAATTCAGGCACTGGACTCAAAAACTGTTTTCTGGTGACAACTAGAAAAAATGTCATCAAATTCCTACAGTGTTCGAGAGAAGGAAAAGAGAAGCCCCAGACTGGGAGAAAATATTTTCAAAAGATACATCTGATAAAAGACAGTTATCCAAAATATAAAAAAAAAACTTTCAAAGCTCAACAGTAGGAAAATAACTCTATTGAAAAGTGGGCTGAAGACCGTAACAGATGCCTCACCAAAGAAAATACGCAGATGAAAAAAAAAGCATAGGAAAAGATGTTGCCCATCATATCACTACACACCCATTAGAACAACTGAAATCCCAAACACAGACACACCAAATGCTGGGGAGGATGTAGAGCAACAGGAACTCTCGTTCATTGCTGGTGGGAATGCAAAGTGGTACAGCTCCTTTGGAAGACAGTTTGGCAATGTCTTACAAAACTAAACACTTACTATTCTATTCAGCAATCATACTCCAAAGGAGTTGAAAATGCATGTCTGCATAAAACCTGTGCATGGATGTTTATAGCAGCTTCGTTCAGAATTGTCAAGACTTGGAAGCAACCAAG